CTAGCGGCCACTAAGTGCCACTAAATGGTATTTCTCGGAACCAGTAGCGGCCGCTAGGTGCCACTAAATGGTACTTTTCGGGACCGCTCAAGGCCACTAATTGCACTAAGTTCCACTGAACGGCCGCTACAGGCCGCTAGCGGCCTCTAAGTGCCACTAGATGGTAATTCTCGGCGGTCGCGATGGTCAGTCCGAAGTTCCCCAGAGAGCCCACACAAGTATAGAAATGCAAAGATATATATATATATATATATAGAGATATATATGTACACATATTTATTTCTATCGGTAAACTGGTATGTACATATATATATATATATATACGTACATATATAGAAAGAGGAACAAACCTATATACATATATATATATATATACATACAGATATTGCACCACATAGCCTGCACCAGCGAGATTGCTCCACGTAGCTTTCACCACGTCGCGTATACAGCATGGCTCACGCAAAATGTGTTGCACCAGCTAGCTTACACCACATACGTAGCCTTCTCAACATAGTTTGCACCACGCAGCTTGATCTGTATACATCGCCTGCGCCGCATAGCCTGCATGGCACAGATTGCACAACTCATTGTCCACCACATAGCTTGCACCACCGATCTTGTTCATCACACACTGCACCACATAGCTTGCACAGAATGGCTCATACAACATACATTGCACCATATAGCTTGTACCACACACATAGCTTGCACCACTTAGCTTGCATCGCTTGGCTTACACCGCGTAACGTTCATCACACAGCTTGTTCCGCGGAGTGTGTACCACATAGGTGTCACTACATGTTTGGCAGCATGCCACGTAGCTTGCACCACATTGCTCACACATCCAGGGTGCAATATTTCACCGGTTGTGTTGGGTCCACGCTTGCAAGCGTGCGTTGTGTTCCCCACAGGAGCTCTGCAAGTCTAGAGTCCCCCCGTTGCCAGCGATTCCAGCGCGCGCAGATTCGAAAGCTCTCGATGTTCGTTCGCAAGTGTGTCTCGTCGTCCTAGAATTAAGTCGGGCCTGTCCCTCTACAGGGGAATACAGGGGGAATATGCAACAATGATAAAAACAATAGTCTGGGGACTATTTTTTCAGGGGGGGGGAAGTTTGGGGCATCTTTTGAATATTTGTTGGGTATTGTTTTACCTTTCGTCCAAAATCGCCCTGTAGGGGGACAGGCCCGACCTAATCCTAGAAGGCGGCTGGTCGTTATAGGATCCTGTCGTTACGGGATGTGTGCTGCTATCCCGCAGCGTTTCCGATGGCTTTGAGGTCTGTTTCGGCCCAGGTCGTGGGGTCTGGGCGGGAGAGCGCACCGGCATCGGCTACCGAGTATCATCGCTCGAGGTTGTGGGCACCTCATTAAAAAAAAAAAAAACATCTTCTTGCCAGCATTGATCCGCATTGGCAAACCCAGTACTCCCGTCATCTTCATCCTCGCGCGTTATGAGATTGATGGGCGTCATCACCATCGTCTCCTCGTCCAGCTCGTCCTCCTGTCCTCCTCCTGGCTCCCCCCCATTTCACCTCGACGTGTTTCTCGTGCTCTCTCCTCCTCCTCCTCCTCCTCCTCCTCCTCCTCCTCCTCCTCGTCCCCTCTGCTCGTCCTCCTCCTTCCGCGTCCCTCCCCGCATGCGCCCCTCCACGTCCTCCTCCCTGGCCCCATCACCCGTCTGCTGCCGCTGCTCCCCGCTCAGCTCCGCGCGCCTCTCCCCCATCCCCGGCCCGAGCTGGCGAGCGACGTCTCCCGCCGCTCGGACTCCGCCCGCTGACGTCTGCCTCTAGCCGTTGGGCCTCTGAGCAAAGCCGGAAAAAGTGGCTACTTCGATGTCGTATTCTTCGTCCTCTTTCTCCATGTTCTATCCTCCTCCTCCTCATCCTCCTCCTCATCGCCCTCGTTCGGTGCACGAGGATCGAGTAGTCGTCTGAGTATTCTGCATGTGTCGGTTCCCTCGTCCTCAGTAACGATCCCCCCTCTCTGTTCCATCAGCATTATCCCCTCTTTTTCCTCCTACAGAGTCTCTTCTTTCTCGCTCCTCACCTATCCTGCTTCTTACAATTGGTCATCCTTCCCTGTCGTTCCCCCTCCTTCCGGTTCCTCCTCCTCCTCCTCCTCCTCCTCCTCCTCTCCTCCTCCTCCTCCTGCTCCTCCTCCTCCTCCTCCTCCTCCGCCCCTCTCCCCCTCCCCCTTCCGACGACGACGGTACCTTCTTCAAGACCCTTACGACGACGGCGGCGACCACGGCGACGTGCGTTGGTCTCTCCGCCGGCCATCCGGCTCCCGCCGCCCTGGGAGGCAACCGCTCAACGCGATCGACCTGCTGGCCGTGTTGCCCTACTACTGCGCCCTGCCCATCAAGGGCAGCAACCGGAGCGCCAAGTCCTCCTGCGTTAACAGATCCCCTACTCCCTCCTTTCCTCTTCCTCCTCCGCTTTTCCTCCTCCTCCTCGTCCTCCTCCTCCTCCTCGTCCTCCTCCTCCTCATCGTCCTCCTCCTCCTCCTCCGCCTCCTGCCTCCCTTATCCTCCTCCTCCTCCTCCTCCTCGTCCTCCTCCTCCTCCCTCCTCCTCCTTCTCCCTCCTCCTCCTCCTCCTCCTTCTCCTCCTCCTCCTCCTCCCCCTCCTCCTCCTCCTCCACCTGATCCTTCTCTTCCTCCTCCTCCTCCTCCTCCTCCTCCTCCTCATCCTCCATTCCTTTTCCTTATAAATAACATCTCCCTGTCGCACCCCGAGGCCAGGTTTTAGGGCGGGCCAGGCGTTTCGCCTGAGACATCCTCACGATTTGTACGTCTGACGCTTAAAAATTGACAACATTTTCACAGATGGAGGGCGGGTGGCTTTCAAAATCTGGCTTTCGCCGCAGCGCCGCGCACGCTCGTTTCAATTTGACAGACGAAGGACCTAGCCATATGCAGTTGCGATTACCGCATTGTGGGTACCGGTTTCTGGGAAGCTCCCTTTGGGGCCACGAAGAGCTGTCCCAGTTGGCGTTGACGCATGCGGCTTGTGCCACTGGAGCTTTCGGTGGAGCTCCCTATGGGGCCACGAAGCGCTGTCATGGGTGGCGTTGACGCATGCGGCCTGTGCCACTGGAGCTTTCGGTGGAGCTCCCTATGCGGCCACGAAGCGCTGTCCTGAGTGGCGTTGACGCATGCGGCCTGTGCCAGTGGAGCCTTCGGCGGAGCTCGCTATGGGGCCACGAAGCGCTGTCCTGGGCGGCGTTGGCGCATGCGGCCTGTGCCACTGGAGCCTTCGGTGGAGCTTCCTGGGGGGCCACGAAGCGCTGTCCTGGGTGGCGTTGACGCATGCGGCCTGTGCCACTGGAGCCTTCGGTGGAGCTTCCTGGGGGGCCACGAAGCGCTGAACGGGGTGGCGTTGACGCATGCGGCCTGTGCCACTGGAGCCTTCGGTGGAGCTCGCTATGGGGCCACGAAACAATGTCCTGGGTGGCTCTGACGCATGCGGCCTGTGCCACTGGAGCCTTCGGTGGAGCTTCCTGGGGGGCCACGAAGCGCTGTCCTGGGTGGCGTTGACGCACGCGGCCTGTGCCACTGGAGCCTTCGGTGGAGCTCGCTATGGGGCCACGAAGCGCTGTCATGGGTGGCGTTGACGCATGCGGCCTGTGCCACTGGAGCCTTCGGTGGAGCTCGCTATGGGGCCGCGAAGCGCTGTCCTGAGTGGCGTTGACGCATGCGGCCTGTGCCACTGGAGCTTTCGGTGGAGCTCGCTATGGGGCCACGAAGCGCTCTCCTCGTTGGCGTTGGCGCATGCGGCCTGTGCCAGTGAAGCCTTCGGTGGAGCTTCCTGGGGGGCCACGAAGCTCTGTCCTGGGTGGCGTTGACGCATGCGGCCTGTGCCACTGGAGCCTTCGGTGGAGCTCGCTATGGGGCCACGTGGGTGGCGTTGACGCATGCGGCCTGTGCCACTGGAGCCTTCGGTGGAGCTCCCTCTGGGGCACGAAACGCTGTCCTGGATGGCGTTGACGCATGCAGCCTGTGCCACTGAAGCCTTTGGTGGAGCTCGCTACGGGGCCACAATGCGCTATCCTGGGTGGCGTTGACGCACTGGAGCCTTCGGTGGAGCTCCCTGTGGAACGCTGTCCTGGGTGGCGTTGACGCATGCGGCCTGTGTCACTGGAGCCTTCGGTGGAGCTTCCTGGGGGGCCACGAAGCGTGTCCTGGGTGGCGCTGACGCATGCCGCCTGTGCCACTGGAGCCTTCGGTGGACCTCCCTTTAGGGTCGCGAAGCGCTATCATGGGTGGCGTTGGCGCATGCAGCCTGTGCCACTGGAGCCTTCGGTGGAGCTCCCTTTAGGGTCACGAAACGCTTTCCTGTGTGCCTTTGACGCTGCGGCCTGTGCCACTGGAGCCTTCGGTGGAGCTTCCTGGGGGGCCACGAAGCGCTGTCCTGTGTGGCGTTGACGCATGCGGCCTGTGCCACTGGAGCCTTCGGTGGAGCTCGCTATGGGGCCACGAAGCGCTTTCATGGGTGGCGTTGACGCATGCGGCCTGTGCCACTGGAGCCTTCGGTGGAGCTTCCTACGGAGCCGCGAAGCGCTGTCCTGTGTCGCGTTGACGCATGCGGCCTGTGCCACTGGAGCCTTCGGTGGAGCTCGCTATGGGGCCACGAAGCGGTGTCCTGTGTCGCGTTGACGCATGCGGCCTGTGCCACTGGAGCCTTCGGTGGAGCTTCCTGGGGGGCCACGAAGCGCTGAACGGGGTGGCGTTGACGCATGCGGCCTGTGCCACTGGAGCCTTCGGTGGGGTTCGCTATGGGGCCACGAAACAATGTCCTGGGTGGGTCTGACGCATGCGGCCTGTGCCACTGGAGCCTTCGGTGGAGCTTCCTGGGGGGCCACGAAGCGCTGTCTTGGGTGGCGTTGACGCACGCGGCCTGTGCCACTGGAGCCTTCGGTGGAGCTCCCCATCAGGTCACGAAACGTTGTCCTGGGTGGCGTTGACGCATGCGGCCTGTGCCACTGGAGCCTTCGGTGGAGCTCCCTATGGGGCCACGAAACGCTGCACTGGGTGGGTGAAACGCAGGCAGGTGACCAGGCGGATGGGAGGAGGGAGGACGGGGAGGAGGAGAGGAGAGGAGAGGAGAGGAGAGGAGAGGAGAGGGGAGGGGAGGGGAGGGGAGGAGAGGAGAGGAGAGGAGTGACGTGGGGCGCTGTCTTTTCAAAACGAGGACCCAACACCTCAGGATGGTTGGGAAAAACTTACAAGAGTTTCACGGATTGAGGGCGGTTCCTTTTCATCATGTGGGTCTCGCCGTAGCGCCGCGCACATTCGTTTTTACATATTAGCAAGAGCTTCACGGATTGAGGGCGGTTCCTTCTCAAAATGTGGTTCTCGCCGTTAGCGTCGTGCACATTTGTTTACAACATGTTCAAGAGTTTCACGGATTCCCATGCTCAACGTACCAGAACTAGTTTTTTGAAAGGATTCTGGATTATACGGGTGCAACAGTTACGTTGATTCTCTGTGTTGGAGTCCTAGGAATGGCGTTCTGGCGCGATTCAGGGTCATCAAGACGCGACAGTCAAGTTGATCCGTGGCGTTGGAATCCCGAGAACAATGTGTTGGCATGCCTCAGGGTCTTCGAACGGGTGTCTTCCAACGAGGCAGTTCCATCAATGGAAATGAACCGTTGTAGGGGCCTCTGAAGAGAGAACTTGGAGGGAGAGCTTACTCCAGCATCGCTCTGGGCTATTGGAATGGCCTCCGGCCAGCGCCGCCGATCCGGGGGGCTCCGGACTCGGTGATCTTTGCGGCTCCGTGGCCGCCTCCCTCCTCGACTCTTCCGGCCCTCCCTCTTCTCCTCGGGGCGGTTTCTGCCCCCTGGCCGGGGGGCCCTCGGGGCGCACGGGCGCGCGGCCCCCGCGGGGGCCCGAGGCCACTTGGGTGGGCGGCCGTGCAGGCGCAGGTCTCGGTGCCGCAGGGGCCTCCGGGGCAGCCGTGCTCCCTATGGTGTCGACCGGAGGACTCCAAGGAGGGAAGCGGGTCCTGAGGCTCTTCGCCGTTTGCGAGCTTGCGGAGCCCTCGACTCACCACCCACCAAACCACCCCAACCCAACCCGAAGGCTCAGATTTACCCTCGATTTCAAGTGGGGGGGGTGGGGGAAAACATAGAAAAAACACGTGTGGAACCCTTACCCCCCCCTACCCGAAATTCGGGTCTTCGGGTTGGGTTGGGGTGGTCTGGTAGGTAGTCATCGACGGGCCCCAGGACCGCCAGAGGGAAAGGGGTCATGAGGCTCGTCGCCGCTCGCGAGCTTGCGGAGCCCTCCGAAGGGCCCCAGGGCCGCCAGAAAGCGATTCCGGATGAAGAGCTTGTCCTGGGGGAAGGCCCCCGGGTTCCACGACCCGCTTCCCTCAGGACTCGTTTCCCACATGCTGAAGCAAGTAATCATCAGTCACCTATCGTCGTCTCTTGTTTCGGGCGTTGAGGGAACGCCCACACGGACGAGCCGATTGAGGAAGTCTGTTGTGGTTCACTCGACATTTGGCATGTGAGTGTGCCCGTGCAGTCTCCGGTCGGCTTCGCGAATCGACGTGCGTTTCGCCGAATATATTTGGTTGTAGCTACCCCGCAGGATCACACATGGTAGACAGATGGGTAGGCAAACAGAAAGACAGACAGACAGACAGAGACAGACAGGCAGACAGACAGGCAGACAGACAGAGAGACACAGACAGACAGACAGACAGACAGACAGACAGACAGACAGACAGACAGACAGACAGACAGACAGACAGGCAGGCAGACATACAGACAGACACACATACAGACAGAGACAGACAGACACATCGACGCGATCCGACGCCCATCGCAAACTGAAAGGCGCACCCATCCCCGCCTCTCCCCACAAGCCCCCCCTTTCACCGAAGGGCGGTCCTGTCGGTGTTGCTATGCTACACTCTGGCGGAGGTGGCCCAGGGGGAGCACGGCGCAGCAGACCTCGGGCGTCGCTGTAAGAACGCGAGGGGCGTTCGTGTCCCGTCCTGGGCCCAGGCACCCTCGCCGCGGAGCGGTGTGGCTCGAGGCTGCTCCGATCTTGGCCCCCGGATTGGGGTCGGACATCTGCAGGAGAAGCTCGCCTTGCAGAACAAAAACGATTGCTGTCCAACGCTGGAGCATGGCCAGTATGGAGGGTGGCCAAGACGGGGTGGTGATGCCCAGGGGGAGCGCGGACAGCATGGCTGGAGCCACGAAGGCTGCCCAGATATGTCAGGGCCCCCCCTCTTATTGCAAAGCTTCCTCCCCGGGGTCCCCCGCTCGTCCGCGCCAGCGCACATGCCTCGGGACAGGACTCGCGAAGTCCCTTTCCTGCAGTCGGGCCGCTGAAGAAGGAGCCCTTTTCGTCGGGGATGGGACAGCGTTCCCCAATTCTGTTTCACAGTTGTTTTCAGGTTGTCCTCAGGTCTTCTACTGGGAATCGGCGCTTGACTTCTGGAAGAAGGGGGCCTTCGATCGTGAAGGGGGAGGAGGGTGGACGGGGGCGTTTCGATAGATCCGAGGGCTCCCCGTCCCTGCCTCCGCGGAGGGGCATCGCCTGGACCCCCTGCGAGGGTCGGAGGGCCGCCCCGAAGTCCCCCGCGGGCTGTGAGACTTGGGAGCCCCGCGGAGGTCCATCGTCAGCGTCTTCCGGCTTGGCCGGATCCTCCGGCTGTTCAAGGTCACCAAGTACCTGCCCGAGACGAAGGTCTTCATGGACACCATGATCATGAGCGGCCAGCCGTTGGCCATCCTGCTCTGTTTCAACCTGATGCTCGTGGTGGTCTTCGCCTCCCTCATCTACAGCGCCGAGGGCCGGCGCTTCTCTGTCGCGCTGGAGTTCACTGCCCCCACCACCGAGGCCGACTGCCCCAACAGCACGGCGCCAGCGCTGTACCCGGCAGGCGTGTTCGTGCGCAAAGACGCCGGAGGCGTCGAGGACACCATCTCGCCCTTCCGGTCTATCCCTTACAGCATGTGGTGGGTCTGCACCACGATCACGACCATCGGCTATGGCGACTTTGCTCCCACGACCGCCTGGGGAAAGGCCATTTGCACTCGCGCGCCCGTTTCTGCGTCAGCAGAGCAACCAGTCCGATATGCGCGCACTAAGCTGATTGTCTGCTGGTACACTCTACCCGGCCAGGTCAGGCAAGATATTTGCATGTATTTGCCGTCGCACTGTCAGGTATCAGTTTAATCACCGCGTGCACAGGACAAATTCACAAGTTAGCACGAACTTAAAACTTAATGTGGCTAGCTTATTGTATTGTTTGCTGTCTTTTGAACATACGGACGTTGCGAGGCCATCGCAGTCATGTGTTTCTACGTCGGTGTCATCTTCTTGGCCATGCCGATCACAGTCCTGGGCGCCAACTTCCAGATAAGCTACCGGCGGCGCTTCCAGGATCCAGAGGGCCGCCAGCCTGAAAGAAGATTGCCTCCAGCGTGAGAGCTGAGCTAGACTTTGCTCAGCCAGTGGCGTGAGGCCAGAGGAGAAGCGAGGGGGAGGAGGAACGGAACGGGACGATTGCGACCTTCGGGGGAGGAGGAGGCGGAGGGAGAAGGAGGAGCAGAAGGCCAATATTCATGTGTTTTAAGCCTTTCGAGGAGGACGCGACCATGGACGACCGCAGAGTCCCAATTGTCCGCCGAAGGACCAGCTTTGACGACATGAAGGATAACTACAAGAAGGCTCTCAGGAGCGTGGATCCCTATCGCACGCTTCAAATGACACATGTCTACCATTTGTGAGTATATCTAGCGTACCTATAAGGGCTTCGCCTTCCAGGAATCGAGAGGGTGATACCTTCTTCCAGCGACAAGCGGCCAGCGGAAGTAAACTGTGGGCGGCTCCTCCAGCGGAAGCCGTCGCGCTCCCCTGAGATGTCAATGGAGGCCATCTTGACGGGAGAGGCTTGAAATGCGAGTGCGGGTTCACCAGCTTGGACCCCTCCTGGGCATTCTTTGGGCTCTCATGGGCGCTTCCTGGGCCGTCTTGAAGTGATCCTGGGGGCTTCTTGAGCCGTCCTGGAGCGTTGAAAGCCCGAGTAAGCGAGAATGTTGAACATCAGTGGACAGCATATGGGAAATCAGTGACATTTGCCTCTTGGGACCCTCTTTGGGGCTCTCTTGGAGCCCTCTGCGAGAGCCTGTTGGGCCGTCTTGGTGGCTTCGTGGGACGTCTAGGGGGCGCACTGGGCCGTCTTGAGGCTATCTTGGGCTGGCTTGGGACCGTCATGGACGATCTCGAGATGTTGTTGGGACCTTCTTTGATCGTCCTGAGGGAGTTGGGTGTTGTTCTGGGCTGAAGGGACGTCCAGAAGGCTCTTGCGCCACATCCCTTGAGCGCCCGAGTAACGTTCGGAATTCAGACAAATTTTGGGACTGGGCTTTCGAGAATCCCAGGAACCATGGAACTCGTACAATTGCACGAGCCTTGGGGCAGAGAGGATAGAGCGAACAAGCGCAGAGTAGCAGGTAGAGGGTGAAGAGTACAGGCTAGACTGGCGAGAGTAGAGGCTAGACTGGTAGCATCGGGCCTGGTGGTGTAACGTCGGGAGTTGGAAGTAGTGGGCAATTTGCAAATAAATAGGTATTTAGTACATTTCACAGTGAGCGTACTGCTGTAGGGTAGCGTTGTGGAAGGGTAGTGTAATGGCAAAAGTAAGGTAGTTCAAAGTGGTGTGCGGTAGGGTAGGGCGGAGTAGAGTAAACTGGGGCGCGTCGGGTGGAGTAGACCAGCGCAAAGTAGAATAAAGCAGATAACGTCAGCGTGGCGTAAAGCAGATTCAGAATGAAAAGCTCGTCTCGAAGCGAGTCCAGGGCTCGGGACCTGTTATCCTCAGGGCCCATTTCGCTCATGCCGAGGGCCCCATGGCCCTCAGACACCGCGAACAATTTCACGATTGGCGGTGTCTGTCCGCGATTTCGGCCACCAGGGCCACTTACTCGAAACAAGGACCCGTGATACACATATTATTTTGGGGCTTGCGAGCCAGGAGTGTTGGGTTGTGGCCATGCAACAAGTCTCGACGTCGAATTCAACCTCCGACATGAGCGCATCAGTAAACACGCTAACTGAAGCATATGGTCTCAGGACACAGGCGACGATGAGACCTGCGTCCACGCTGTCCTGGCTACCGACGAAGATGGGCGTCGGTCGTACCGTCTTCGCGGTCCTCGAGGAGCCCTCTTCCTGCATCTTGGGGAACGTGTACTCGATCTTCATGTTGGTCGCGATCTTGCTGTCGACCACCACATTTGTGCTGGAGTCGATGCCGCAGTTTCAGGAAACGAAGGAGCAGTGCAAGGTGGATGTGACTGTGGAGAATTGCATGCCGCGCCCGGTTGGGACATTCGAATACATCGAATGGGTTTGCATCTTGATTTTTTCCGCAGACTACGTTTTCCGTGTGGCCACTGCACACACTGCCAAGGACGTGCTGGCCGAGGGCGAGAAGCGGGCGAATGCATCTTCATTGAGGGTAACTCTGCGCTACGCGAGCTCATTCCTCAATTTAGTGGATCTGGTCGCGATCATTCCTTTCTACGTCGAGCTCGTTGCCCAGAGCGGCAACAATGGCCTTGCTGTGCTGCGAGTGCTACGTCTTGTGCGCACACTCCGCGTCCTCAAGATGCCCAAGTTACGCCTTGGCGTCATGATGCTCATGAACGTGGTTGTGGACTGCATGCCAGCGCTGGTGCTGCTCATCACGATGTCGATGCTCACCTGCATCCTGTTCTCCGCGTGTATTGTATACGCCGAGGGGACATCCTATTCCGTCGATCATTTTACGGAGGATTTTCCATTGGGCCTCTACATCCGGCCGACGAAGGAGGGCTTGGACGTGGAACCTTCACCTTTTCGCTCGATCCCGTATGCGTTCTGGTGGTTCTTCGCCACGGTCACCACGGTCGGCTACGGGGACGACTACCCCACCACCACGTTCGGCAGGACAACAGAGACGGGGAACAAAACGAGCGAACACATGATCAGAGTTGTCCGAACAGTGCTTGCACCGAGGGGTCGCAGCTGCTCTCTGAAGATTGCCACCGGCGGGCTGGATGTTCTGAATGCATTTTGGTGCTCGGCGCGCGGCGGTGCAAAGACGCCACGGTTCGTAAGCCTTTCCGTGTTTACGTCGGCTTACGTTCCTGGGGTACTCGGGCGATTCCCTTGTCGTCAACCAGGTGAGAGGATGGCGGGGCACACTGAGGGTGTTGTTTGTCATGTTGTTGATTTTCCAGGCAGGGTATCGCCTTCAGCGCGGCCCGTCTTCGGCGGAAGGCTGCGGAAGGCCGGGGAAAGCCAGCGGAAGTAAGACGGCGGCAGATCCCGCGGCGGAAGTTGGCAGAGAAATCGGACAGCGGCGGAAGTAGAAGTCAGCGTCAACATGTTTGGGTCAGTGCTTCTAGAATCGGTCTTCCGTGATCAAACGAGAAGGTGCCCCGGCGATTCCCCTGTTGGCGATCTGGCTATGGGCCCCCCTCATCCTGCCGGGGGCCTGGCTCTGCCGCACGTGCACGAGCGCCCAGGTCCGCCTCGAGGGTGGCAGCGACTCCCGCGGCGAGCGGCGCGGCGAGCGGCGGAAGGATCGGATCGAAGTTGATCTCGGCTGACCTTGGCGAGCAAAACAAAAAAAAATGCAAAAAACAAAAAAAACGATTGCAAAAACAACCTTTTTTTTTTGTTGTTGTTTTTGCATTTTTTTTTTTTTTTTTTTGTTTTTTTTTGCAAGCCGCCGCGCACTCGGGCAGGCCACCGCAGCCATGACAGCGCCAGCGGCGGCCCCGTGCACCAGCTTGAGCCGCAGGGCTGTCGCTCGGTCGCTCGCCGGTGCGCGGCCTGGGCCAACACGGCAACGGAACGGTCGGTTTTCGATAGTGCTTGGATTGCCTGGGCGGATGCGGCTTTTGCGGCCAGACGCATTCGGATCAGCAGGTGATCCAGAGCAGCCTCCCCAGTGTAATTGCACAGCTGAGATTTCCTCTCTCTCTCTCTCTCCGCATGATTTAACGGCGCTTCGTGCTTCCCGATCGCCCCAATCTTTCGGGGCCCCAGGAGGCTGGAGGTCTTCGGCTCAAGCCAAGAAGGAAGGGAGCATGAGTTAGGACCCGTCCTTTAAAAGTCTGCTCATGGCCTCCTGGAGTGCCCTCGACGGCACGTGGGGCCCATCTGGGCCATCTTAGGGTCCTCTTGGGCCATGCCAGGCCCATATCGAGGCATCAGAGGCCTGCCAGAAGCCGAGAAGACTTCAACGCCTGGATGTATTCTGATGTTGGCCTCTCGGGAGCATTCTCGGGAAGGCGGAAGGCGGACGTCACCTCAGAGCCGCTTCGCGCGCAGTCTTGGCGGGGCTGCCTCGGCCGGCTTGGGCTATTTCGCGTGAGTGTTGTGGGTAACATGGGGCTATCTTTAAGTCGGGCATGTCCTTCTACAGGAGGGAAATTACAAAATAGTCAAACATAGTCTCGGGACGATGTTTTGACTAGTTTTGATACTTAAATATGTTTTGACTGTGTTTTCGCTTTTCTTCCAAACTCCGCCTGTAGGAGGACATGCCCGACCTAAGGCTATCTGGGCAATACTGGAGTCATCCAGGGATAACGTGGGCGCTATCACGCTTGGCGCCCTCTCTGGTCAGACCCCCCGGGAGAGGGCAGATGGGGGGAAACCTCTCCCAGACAGGGAAGACATTGTTTTAGAAGGGCGGCTCCGCTGGACCACCTACGCCAAGACTACCCCAGGGATCACTCGCCCTCTTCGCTCGCCCATCTCATCCGTGCCATCCCAAGGATAGTGGCGCTCTTCTGCTTCTACACCGGGATCATACTGCTTGCCCTGCCCGTCACCATCATCGGCGATAAGTTCACAGTGTACTACCCCGATTGGGCAAGGGCGATGGGCCAACAACTGGACGAGGAGTTCGAAGAGGTTGCCGCCAACCCCTTCGGCAGGCACAAGAGGGCGTCCCGCAGGGCCTCTCAGAAGCGCGTGAAGACACTGCCGACCGCTGCTGGGCTGAGCAACTCTGCGCACAGGAATAGCGTTGACAGCTCAGCGGAGCTGGCCCTGGAGCCCCTGAGTTTGCCGAACCCCTCCAGGGAGGGCGTCGCCGTGGGTGACCCAGGCCAGCAGGAGGAGGCGCCCGTCGAGTGCCACGCAGAGCGCGACGCGACGGGCATTACCCTTTCAATGCTCAAGGACGGCAGCGCAGAAGGCGCCAGAACGGTGCTCCCCCTCGGCAAGGTGGAGTCCCAGCCACCCAGTTGCGAAACCCGGATGGCTTGGAGTTGACTGCCGCCCTCCACAGGAGCGCGACCTGCTCAGGAGCATCTAGCAGGACTGAGACGCATTTGGAACCCTTGCCGCGGAGTCTCCGACTGCTGATGTGGAGGCTCGAGACTTCTAGCCTGACTCTCACCACAATTTGCCCCCCTCCACCTTGTCTTCCCGATCATTGTTCCTCTCTTCCACTCCTGCTTTCATCCACTTCCTCCTGGTCGTCCTCCGGCTCCTGCTTGCTTCAGGTCTTCCCATTCAGGGTCGTTTGCCTCCTCAACACGTTTCTCAGTCTTTCCCTGAGCACTGGCACATGGCTTGCATCCGAAGTTGAATTACTGCTCTCTCTGGGTATTCCCCCTTGCGCGTAGGAGCACAACCATACCACTCCTCAAATTCATGTTCGCCCTCATCCTCACCCTCAGCCTGGTCGCCACTCCAACCCTCAACACACCCTTGCCTTCATCGGCACACTCACTCTCGCCCTCAACCCCTTCCTCCTGTCCTCTCCGTCTCCCTTACCTTCAGCGTCACCCTCACCCTCACCGTCACCATCATCACCCTCACCCCGCCGTCCTTTACCACCTCTCACCTCTCTCATCTCATGCTCACCACACCCTTGCCTTCATCGTCACCCTCGCTCTCACCCCCCTTCCTATCGTCCCCACCCTCACCCCTGCCCTCCTTCCCAACGATGCATCAGAAGCAGGAGCCCTGAGGCCGCGACGGTGAAGAGCCACGCTCGCCCGCCTCCACAGCTCCAGCTTTCATCCTCGGCCCCCTTTCCTCACTCACGCTGTTCTCCGCACACTTTCCCACTGTGAGGAGCGATGAAGCACCCGGCTAGGGGCAGTCGCACGGCTGCATAAATCGTAGGGAGGGCTGGACAGAGTTGGACCATGCCCTGGTGGGAAGAAGGGGATCATGTGGCTTATCGTGAGAAGTTCGGCAAAGTGGTGTTGTGTTGCGAATTCAAGAGCAAAGCGTTGAATGGTACACGCTCCGTCGCAGATCCCCGTATGTGGTTGATTGTGCTTTAGCGTGAGAAGGCGCATACCAATTTTGTTGTATGGCCCGCCTTTGTGTGTGCAAGCCCAATGCTCGTACAGTCAATCTGCTTGGACAGCCCCTGTGTCTACACAAACCTCAAAATCGTGCAATGACGGTGCTAGCCTCGGAGGAGGAGGAGGCTTGTTTCAGACCTGGCTCGGTTGGGACCCGCGGTGTCCGGATCGGGCCAGGGTCGGTCGCGTTTCCAGTGTCTAGCTGGCATCGTGGGCAAATCCGCGCGCGCCGCGGACTCTCCGCTCCTGCGGGGTGGCGCGCTGGACTTCGCGAGGATCCACCGCCTACGCCGCCCGCAGAAAGCGATGTCTGGGACGAGCGCACGCTCCCTGATGTTGCGAGCCCCGCGCCTGGAGAAGAGGCGCGGCTCCTGCCTGGCGGGCGGCACGATCGCGCAGAGCCGCAACCACACTTGCTGGCCAGAATAGTAGACCTTATGGCTCGGGGGTGGACAGAACCCCCAACAGTGACACGTCGATTAGTGAATTGTCCGTTTTCGGTTTTCGTGAGGGCGCCGTGGCCGTTATTTTCCAGGCTTGCGCCCGCCAGGTTTGGGCCCGAAGTCGTTTTCATTACACCACGTTTTACTAAAGGGAGGTTTGTCCATCCCCGAATGGCTTCTTCTGGCCTGTGAGGGACCTCTGGACGGCCTTGCGTCCTGTTAGCCTGGGAGGTCCGCACTCGTCTCGGAGTTTGCGGGGGCGCTTCACCCTCTGCAGCTTAAAAACACGAAGTGGCACCCCTAAAGTCCCGAATGTGCTGTCTGTGGGGCTCGTGGATCCCGAAAATGCTTAATCGGGGTACGCAAGGCATCGAAACCCAACGGGCTTTGCCTAAGGTCCCCACCCTGGCGCACCCAGTACACTGGATTCGGTCCCCATGCGGCCAGGGTCGGGCTTGGCCTCCCGACGCTTCTCTCCTCCTCATCCTCCGTGCCTTCGTCGCCCTCCTCATGCTCCCTATCCCTCCTTCTCCTGCACCCTTCTCACCCCCACCCCCTTTTCATTTTCTTCCTCCAGAGGTCACCTGGGGTCCTCGTCTCGAGGCGCCCCCCCAAGAGGCAAAAGCGCGTGAAAGACCCTGGTCCCCATCCCCTGCTCCCACGTGCTGCTCCTTCGCCTCGTCCTCCTTGTCCTCCTTCCTCGTTATCCTCCTCCTCCTCCTCCTCCTCCTCCTCCTCCTCATCCTCGTCATCCGTCCTCTCTCTCTCTCTCTCTCTCCTCTCCCCTCCATCGCCTTCTCCTCCTCCTCCTCCTCCTCCTCCACCTGCTCCTGGTCGCCCTCCTCGCGCTGCTCTCCTCCCCCTCTGCCGCCGCAGGCTCGGCGCCGCGGCCCGGCGCTGCGCCGGGGGGCTGGCCGCGGCCGGCGCGCGCAGCCAGCCTGGCACTGTGCACTGTGCGCTGCGTACTGTGCACCGTGCGCTGTGCACAGGGCGTCATTCGGTTGGCACTGAGGGTAAGGATGATCGGCTTCCCAGAAGGAAGTACGGGGTGCCCGTCGGTAGTTGAAAGGAAGTCTTCTTGGGTTCCCAGATTCCAATCTACTTTGAGCGGTCAATGATCGAGTGGCTTCACCTTTTCCGTCCTCCTTAGGGTGCGGACGGAACCCTATCTACGGAACCCAATCTATGTTCAACGCATTCCTTCTTCATGTTTCTGCCTATTTCTTCCGACCGATGGGTGCCCGTGCATCCTTCGATGGCCAGGCCCGCTCGAAAAGCTTCGGCGTGGGCGTCCGCGGCCCGCGCACCGTTGCCGCGCATCCTTACGATCAGTGTCGATGGGACATTCAAGACGCTGGAATTCGGAGCCGTCTGGGGGTCTGAGGTGGCCCCGCACTGGTTCTGGCCAGCAGGAAAGCCGGGCAGGTTCGAGGCTTTGTGGTCGGGGAGATTTGCATCGTCGTCGTCGTTTGCCTGCTTCTCCCCTCCTCTTCCCCCTCTGCCGTGCAGCACAGCCTGCCCTTGGACCAGCGTGGCGACGCGTAGGGCTTCGCTGTGCACCGGATTTCGCCGGGATCCGTGAGACTGCAAACGTCTGCTCGGGGAGAGCTGTTGCGTCATTTTGCCTCCAGGGGGTCGTTTTCTGGCCCCGGGACCATGAGCCTATTTTTTTGGATTCAGACAAGTTTACTCGCATGGCGTTCGCCCCCCCCCCCCCCCCCCCTCGCCCCTCTTCAAGCGAATATTAGCGTGCAAGTGCCTTTCGACTTGCGTGATTTCCGCGCCCCTCCCCGAACGTGCAAGTCGTTTGCGGCTTGCTTCAGGCTCAGCCCCCCCCCCCCCGTCCATGCACATGCAAGTAAACTTGCCAGAGTCTGAAAAAAACATCAGAAACGGATCCGGTGCGAAAAACTCCACCAGATGGACCCCACGCGTGAGGGGTCCGGAGGGAGGCACCAGCGTCCTCCCCCGACTCCCCCCGCGCGCGGGTGGGGGGAAAGGAGGATCGGGAGGCGAAGCAGGAGTGAGAAGGAGGCGGAGGAGGAGGGCGCGGAGATGGAGGAGGGTGGAGGGTGGAGGGAGGTCGAGAGGAGGTCGGAGGGACGAGGGAGGAGGAGGAGGAGGAGGAGGAGGAGGAGGAGGAAGAGGAGGAGGAGGAGGAGGAGAGGCAAAGGGAGGAAAGGAACGACGAGGCTCCTGGAGTTGGCCATGTGGCACTTGAGGAGAGGGAGAGAGAGAGAGAGAGCTTCTTCAGTATGAGATAGAGGACAAAACAAACAGGCCTGGTACGAAGGTAAGTGCAAGTCACCCCTGAACATTCCGAGACGAACTCTGGGCTTTGCGGCACACGATGGATCAGCCCAAGCGCCCGATACATCATCCAGACCCGTTGGTTCTCAGAGTTTGTTGATCTGTCTCATCCCAATGTTGATGTTGTTGTTGTTGTTGTTGTTGTTGTTGTTGTTGTTGTTGTTGTTGTTGTTGTCCGTATCTAAGGGGTGCTTGTAGTATCCCCGCGCCCAATGCGGGCGCGCCAGCGCGCGGCCAGGGAATCATAAAGCGTGAAATTTACCAGCCCAGCACACGAAGGATGACCAATAATGGCAGTGTTGATTGCAGTACACTCGGAGGAAGCACAACAACAAACACTGCAATGATATGCGATGGCTCGTGGGGGGAAACAGATACGTTCACGAAGCTGTCTTCCCGAAGCCCTCGTCGAGGCGAGCGGGAGAAAGAGAGAGAGAGAGAGAGAGACAGACAGACAGACAGGAGGCAGGCAGGCAGGCAGGCAGGCAGGCAGGCAGGCAGGCAGACAGACAGACAGACAGGAAGACAGACAGCCAGGCAGGCAGACAGCCAGGCAGGAAGGCAGGCAGGCTGACAGACAGAGAAGGACCGAGGGAGAGGGAGGCACGCAGAGCCGAGTCACGCCGTGGCGACGCCACGCGGATCTTCGCACCGCCCCCCGATGCCTCGCGCGCGCGCGCACGCGCGAGGTGCCCCTCGCCGCGCGCGTGCGCGCGCGCGAGGTCCTCGAACCCCGAGGCGCTGGCGGCGGCGGCCAAGGCACGCCTCCGCCCCGCCGTTCTCCGCCCGCGCGCCTCACCCCCCACGAGGCGGCTCTTTTTGGCTCCTCCCCTTCTCCTACTGTTCCTCCCCCGACTCCTCCTCCGCCGCCCCCCTCTCGAAATAATCCCTCCCCCTCTCCTCCCCTCCTCCTCCCTCGTCCCTCCTCCTCCTCCTCCTCCTCCCTCCTCTCTCCTCCTCCTCCTCCTCCTCTTCGTCCTCCTCCTCCTTCTCCTCCTCCTCCTCCTCCTCTTCGTCGTCCTCCTCCTCCTCGTCCTCCTCCTCCTCCTCCCACTCCTCCTCGTCCTCCTCCTCCTCCCCCTCCTCCCCCTCATCCTTCCCCTCGAGATCCTGGGCGGGTTTGCTCGCACGGAGGGGGAGAGGAACGAGGCCTCCCGGTCGGGGTCCGATTGTGTGGGGTCTGGGGATCGCCCCGCGT